CTCCTCCTCTCTCCTCTCCTCCTCATCCTCCTCCTCCTCCTCTCCCCACCTCCTCCTCCTCCTCCGCCTCCGCCTCCGCCTCCGCCTCCGCCTCCTCCTCATCATCCTCCTCCTCAACCTCCTCACCTCCCGCCCCACCTCCTCCTCTCTCTCTCCTCCTCTCCTCCTCCTCCTCCTCCTCCTCCTCGGCTCCTCCTCCTCCTCTTCCTTCTCTTCTCCTCTCCGACTCCTCCTCACTCCACCCTTCCTCCTCTTCCTACTCCTCACGCCTCCTCCTCCTTCTCCTCCTCCTCCTCATCTCATCATCAGCATCATCATCATCAGCATCATCATCATCAGCATCATCATCATCATCAGCATATCATCTCTGTCATCATCACACATCAACATCATCACATCTCATCATCATCATCATTAACATCATCATCAATCATCAGCATCTCATCATCATCGTCATCATCATCAGCATCAACATCATCATCATCATCATCATCATCATCATCATCATCATCATCATCATCATCATCATCATCAACATCATTATCATCCTCATCCTCGTCATCATCATCCTCATCATCATCAGCAGCAGCAGCATCCTCCTCCTCCTCCTCCTACTCCTCCTCATCCTCCTCCTCCTCCTCCTCCTCCTCCACCTCCCCCTCCTCCTCCTCCTCCTCGCCTCCTCCTCCTCCACCTTCTCCCTTCCTTCTCCTCCGCTCCCTCCTCCTCCTCCTCCTCCTCCGCCTCCTCCTCCTCCTCCTCCTCCTCCTCCTCCTCCTCCTCCTCCGCCTCCGCGCGCAAATGGAAACGCGCGCGCGCCGGGGGGGGGAGAGAGGCGGAGGGCCGGCCGCCCGCGCCTGGGCCTGCCTGTCCGCGCCGCCTGAGGCCTGACTGCCTGACAGTCTGGACGGGCCACAACCCCAAGAGCAAGACAGAACCTGAGATCCAGGCGCTGCAGGCATGTAGGGGACCGAACTCTCTACATCGACGTTTTCTCTGGCCCTGCGCTGAAATTCGCAAACAGGACAGCGGATCCTGGTGTGTGCGGGATCCTGGTGTATACATGTTTCGCTGCTTCCCCGGGAAGCGGATAAAAAATATATGCCACATCACCCCGACGTCGTCCCCGAACCTCAACAAATCTTGGGGTTGAATAACAGCCCGCCACTGGTGATGCAAATGCACTAATTTCCGAACATGATCGCGTCGTAAGAAAATCTGAACGGGAGATGCTTGGCCATTTTCGGCCCCTGGGAGCCCTCGCCGGGCCTCGGGATCGTCAAAAAGCGACTCGGGATGAAAAACTGGTCCCGGGGGAGAAAAAAAGGGTCGGGACTTCCAGGGACCCCGCATGGAAAAAAGCAGGACGTCGCACGTCTGGGACTGTTTCGCACTGAGCGCTTTCGCCCGCTTTCGGGACCCTGGACCATCACGGGCGGAACCGGCCCGAAAAATGCTGCAGCTTTTCGCGGAACGTCGGATGTCAGGGGGGCCCAGATCTCCGACGGTGTGGCTCCTTCGGCCGGCGCTCCTGCCTCGATCCCAACCCCTGGGGACCACTGGCCCCCAAGGCCGTCAAGAACGGGTCCGGGAAATTCGCCGGCCCAACGGGCCAGGGCGTGCTAAGATCTCCGGTACCTGGTTAACAGTAGTTCTAGTTCGCGCGCGCGGGGCGGCCCCTGGGGGTCCCCGGACGACAAGTACCCCGGCAAGGTCCCGGCAAGTCCCCGGCAAGTGCCCGGCAAGTCCCCGGCAAGGTCCCGGCAAGGTCGGGCCAGAGATGCCGGAGCCCTGTTACAGGGCCCCAGGACGGGCCAAGAGGTCCCCAAGAAGCCTCCAAGACGGTCCAAGAGGGCCCCGAGACGGCCAAAGATCGCCCGAAGACGCCCAACAGGGCCCCCAGACAGCCCAAGAGGCCTCCAAGACGCCCCAAGGGCCTTCCAAGAGGCCTCCGAAGAGGGCCCCAAGAGGCCAAAATCGTTGATTTTCATTGTTTTTGTTCTATGTTTTTTGCGTTCTGGCTTTTTCGGCTTCCGGACGCTCCAAGACGGCCCAAGAGGCCCCCAAGACCGCTCCAAGACGACCCACGAGGCTCCCAAGACGGCCCCGGAACGGCCCAGGAGGGCCCCCAAGACGGCCCAAGTGCCGCCCAAGACGGACCAAGAGGCCCCAAGACCCAAGAGGCCCCAAAACTCGGCTAGCCCACAACGGTGCGACAATATGGGCCGGCGGAATGAGCGCAGCGATTAATAAAGCTGCCTCCCAAGAAAGCGGTCGGAGCCTCTGGAGCAGCGGATTGATGAAGCCACGCCAGCGGGTATACGGAGCGCACAGCCCCGCACCACCCCCGCCCCCTCGCGCTGCGGAGCTGCCAGGAAACCGCGGCGGCGGGCTCTCTTCCTCCCCGCTCTCGGCATCCCTGGAGGGGCAAGAGGAAACCGATGCCGCCGCTCCCCAGACCTCTACTGGGGTGCGCTCTGGCGAAAATGTCTGGGAGAGC